TAGTTCAATATACACGTATACAAAAACAAACTGCCGACGTGACACGATAGCGCATGACGGAATATTGCACAAAAGCAATTTCAGGTAGCGTTTCTATAAACGAACGATTCAATATTTCCCGTTTGGCACCTCTCCGTCCGTTCGATCTCTCTAAAGTTTAGCTTGCGTTCTTTCGCGTATTCTTAAACAAGAACGCGCTCAGCCAAGCGTGGGCGAGCTATCGGGAATACTTCCGATATATGAACGTATCTCATTCAAAAAAAAAAAAAAAAAAAAAAGAGAATTAATCCTTTTGCAAAACTCTTTCGTCTCGCGACGCGTCATTTACTCCATTTGCGAAGGCGCGCGAAACAGTTACCAAACTTCTTCTTTAAACATTATATTCCCCCGTATCTTCCTCTCGGTGAGTTGCGCCGAGATCGTGACGTAAACACATTGTTACACCGACGCTAAAATACCTCGCAAAATTCTCTGGAAAACTTTTTGCTTGCTTCCACCTCCGTGTATTGTATTTTTCCAGAGCGATAGGGCGGCTGTATAGATGATACCGCGCGGAAATATATAAGGACATTGCATTTGTACGCATTGCAATTGAGCGTTTTATGAAAACACAAACAACCGCGAGAGTTCACTAAAAAATGTGAATCTCTGAAAAGATTGCTTTTTGAAATGTCTTACGTTGGCAGAAATATTTTTAAGTACAACAAATATTTTATTATTCTTATTATTCCATCATACCATAAAAAGAACTTAGAAATTTGTATAAATACATTGGTAAGCCAACAATTATCCGTTGCGATTTATATTTGAATACATAAACAAAAGATTATACACATTGTTCAACACCAAACTCAACAAAGATACCACAATTGAGTCTAATACCGGGGAATGCACACGTTCCATGCATTACTTTGTGTTACCTTATACTACAACAATTAATATTCACAGTAAACATTACAATGTACCAATTAACAACAATTTACACACACGATTGTCATACAGACCGTTAAACAGCCTCAAAAAATTTATAAAAACACATAAAGATATGGTACCGGTCTCAAAAAAGAAAAATGTATACATGGAAGTATTGAGGTAGGCTCTCAACAAAATTTTAATAATCAATATTTAAAGTTAACGGCCATACAGAGCCAGTGCAGAATGTTGTGCAATAATTAAATAAATTAAATTTTAGCTTCAAAACGTTTCGACTTTTTATTGAAGTCCTTATCAATTGAATCTGAGATAATGGTGTAAATTATTTACATGTTAATAAAATAAGTTAAAATTGAAACTGTCAAAAACAAATATATGAAATAGGATGTCAGAGTATCGAGTAATCAAGTCATACTTATTCAAACATTCAATCGACACTAATAGATCGACACTAATAATATCGACACTAATAATAAAGAAAAATGTAGTTTACAACGTCCAATGTAACAATTGTGAGGCCAATTATATCGGTCAAACAAAGAGACAATTACAAACCAGGATTAAAGAACACGTTTATCATGTTAGGACACAAAATAAAAGATCTGTCATGTCAGATCACTGTAAGGAAACGAGTCACACGTTTAATTGGAACGCGACCAAAATTTTAGACCACGAACCTAATTATTTCAAAAAACTCACATCAGAAATGGTCAACATCAAATTAAAAAATAATACCATCAATGTTATGCAAGACACAGCATTATTAGATGACTCTTACTTCCCTTACATTGATCGGATTAAGTCATAAGTTTTTCCGTTGGGGGAGCCACAATCAGTAGTCTTGACGAAAGTGCGATACAAACAACACACAAGTTTATCGAGTTGCATGTTGTCTTCAATTATCGTCAGAACAAAGAAATGTTGAACATAGATTGTAAGTTTATCAAAACAAAAAACTTCATTGTAAATTATGATTTGTTTGTTAACATTTGCGCCTATTTTTTTACTATGTATACTAGACAATCCACTGATGATGACTAAAATAATAAAGTCGAAGCGTTTGGATTCATACTTCATTAGAATTTAATGCATAACACCTTGCAACTGGTTCGAGAGCCCGTTAATCAAGATTCAATTTGATTATTCTTATTCCTTCGTGAACAGAGATCAAAAATGACCTACTAGTTGAACAGACTGGGTCTGTGAGACCCACGCGAGACTTTAAAGTCGAATATCTTCGCGAAAAACCGATATTCTTTTAATTTTTTTTTTTTTTTGAATCAAAAGTTTGAAAACGATTCTGCGTCGATAAAAAAAACAAATTAAAAACATCTCGTGAAAAGCGTTTAAAAAAAAAAAAACTAATTTTTACCAGACACCGATGCGCAATTTTCAAGTGGATCTGCAAGATCCATGTCTGTCCGCGAAGGATTATTTAAAAAAACTGAAATGCAGAAAGTGAGTACTTACGAGAAGTGGATTTTACAACGTTAAACAATAAATATGAAACGTTTGCTCGCGAAGCGTCATCGATTTTGTGTGTTCTAATCGAAGTTCTCCATCTTCCGTATACAACCAGACTCGAGCAAACAGACGAGAATATTGATAGTTAATTTTCTGTCTGCGCGCATCTACGCGCACACTCATCTGTTCGGGTAGAGGTCGGGAAATGAGACGGTGACTCTTTGCACCGTTGTCGCGTAAATCGATTTATCTTACGCTTGGACGATGAGCGAGCTTCTCCGTCGCGCCGGTATCCTCGCGACAAGTGTGCGCAAAAGAAAAAACCAACCACGCATACCGGACAATGTTGACCGTAATAGGCAATTGCCGCGCAAAAATTTTAGCGTTGCAAAGAAACGCGACTCTGACATTCCAAAACTTCTTCCTCCGCCATTTCACTCCGCTTTGCCGGGTTTTCCCAGCAACCGGAGATGGAAACCGCGCGCGTATATTCGAACAGCTTCTTTCACTCTCGTGGATCTCGTCGTAAAGCACGCGGGATTCCTGCCTTTATTATGGCCGCGGTGAGTGCGTGTGCACTATGTTAGTCAGTCCGCATTTGTCGCGTTCACAGCCATAAAGCCACCGCATACACACAGGGGAAATGGAAAGACCGACGAGAGATGAACATTATTGAGGAATCAAAGTACCACGCACAAAGATATATAGGAGAGAAATCGGATTTCTTAAACGCGAACGCAAGATGTTCCGGGAAACTCAAAGGAACGAAAGCTCCATTTAGCGTCGTAAGTTATGAAAAGACTTTTATACGGGAAAGACTGAGATAAAAAGATCAGTCATGCGAGAGAAAATAAATTAAAAAATCAAAGCGTCATAGAAATTGTGCGTGGAATAGAGAAGAATATTTTATTATGTTCCGAGATATAAGATGTTTTTTTTATTTTAAACAAACGTTTAATTAACTTATCGCATGTAAATTAATCCTTCGTAGATTGACTCTTAAAAATGCTTACTAGTTGAACTGACCGGATCTGTGAGACTCGCGCGAGTTTTTAAAATCGAATATCTCCGCGAAAAATTGATTGTTTTTAATTTTGTTTCGGTAATTATTTTAGAAAGCGGACTTCCTCACCGATTTCAATGAGCTTGAAATATGTTGTTAAGGACGTTATTCTGAACAACTTTTCCCTATACATGTTGCCGCCGGTCGGCTTTAGTTTTTGAGTTATAAACCAAAAAAGTTTCATAATTGAATACTTGTTTTGGTAAATATGTACAAAAGGTCACCCAAATGAGCTTGATATATTTTGTCAAGGACACCTTCCTGAATAAAGAATTAAAAGGTTTTAGCCGTCGCTCGTTGTTTATTAAAAAGTTAATAACAAAAAAAGTTTTATAAATAAACTCTTATTTTTCGATTCCATGTACATTTTTTTGTGTTGTAAGTGTTTAGGCAGAGGGGGGGTACGCTTCCCCGCAGGGGGAGGGGCTGCGCCCCCCGCAGGGGGAGAGGCTTCGCTCCTTCTCCCTGCTTCCCCCTTCGTGTTCTGCGTGTATATTACCTTGTGTTTATATTGAAATATTTTTTCTGAATCCAATATTCCACAATAATAAATTATGTCTAAAACATACAGGTTTGGACAACGATGCTTTAATGAAACTTTTTTTGGTAATTTCGACATGAAGCGAATGTAATCGGAAATCGTATTTGTTAATTAAATTCTTCATTTTTTCTTGACGGGAGGAGCAAGGAGGAGGGGCAAAGCCCCTCCCCCTGCGGGGGCGTAGCCCCCTCTGTCTACATGTGTCATACAAAGAATATATTAACTTAAGAAATCGACACAATGTTGGAAAATTAGTCTTCAATTATGAAACTTTTTTTGTTTATAACTCGAAAACTAAAGCCGACCGGCGGTAACATATATAAGAAAAAGTTGTTCAGAATAACGTCCTTAACAATATATTTCAAGCTCATTGAAATTGGTAAGGAAGTCCGCTTTCTAAATAATTACCTTTGTTTCTTTGAATCAAGTATAGTTTGAACGATTCTGCGTCGATAAAAAAACAAATTAAAAAACTCTCTAGTGCTTCCGAAGATATAGGTGTTTAAAAAAATTGCTTTTTATTTGAGACGCCGATGCGCAATTTTTGAGTAGGTCTGAGAGACCCATGTCAGTCAACAAAAGGTTAATTATATAATTATTCTCTCGTATTATCGCGTCACGCATATATATTATGTGCAAAATATACGTTTTAAATACAAGTTTTTGTTTTGATATGTAGAAAAAAATGTACATAGTTGTTTTTAAGAAATTAACAACTGTTATAGTCGCTGAGCAAGAAAAAAAGTGATCTTTAATCGAAGCGTTTGTTGTAACGCGATCATTTAAAGAGTGAAAAACGATATTTGATCAACTCTGGGTGTGGCCAATGTTCACTGAACCGCGAAAATATTACTGTCACTGACTTGACAGAATGATCAAGTTGCTTTTGCGTGCAGCTACAACTCCATCGTGCAATGCACAGTTTATACTGATGTTTGTCCTGTCTGACGCGCGTGTCGTGGCGCTAGCAACATTACGTAACAAAACACATTTGCGTACCTGTCGAGCTTTCTCTCACAGAGCCGCGTCGTCAAAGTCCTTGGACGAACTCGAGGGTATCTCCTCTTGCTCTTTCGAGATATTTGTCGTTGGCTCTAGAATTATCAGCTCGCATCCCTCGGGATTCTGCGCTTTCGTCGTGTTGCTTGTGGGCAGCAGAGTCTCTTGCATGGTGTTGTTGCCGTTACATATCTTGTCGCCTCTGCAACCTTCCCTGGTTCTCTGGATATTCCTATTGGAGCCTCTCGAAAAACACGGCAGAACCTGCGTAGAATAGAATTTTTTTTTTGTGATTTGATCAAAACGCTATTGTACGATTCTTATGATATTTTATGCTGAAATGAGTTAACCACTATAACTATACGTTAACTTAACGTTAAATTATATGTAGATATAATTAGCTGAAATAATGGAACGCTCTTAAAAATTTTTTTTAATTTTCGATGATCAACTTTATTAGCTCAACAAGTAGAGTCTTTCTTGTCTCTTCGACAAACGTACGAGTATGTATGTTTAATTAAGCGATGTTTGACTGTTGTCGTTATCTCGTTTATAAGGAATATCCTTGAAGGGACAAGACACGTTTAAATTAATTTTGCATCCGAGTGAAATTAAGAATCGATTTTGTAATTGCGGTTTATAAGAGAAGCTCTCCCGAGTTGTTATAAGAGACAGAGTCGTTAAGCGTATTTTATTATTGTCGAACTTGAGGCTGAGAAAATGAAATTGATGAAAGGGCGTGTGCCGAGTCGTAACGAGATGAATGATTAAAAAATAATTCAATGTCCGTGGATTGCCCGGGAAAAATTAATCAAATTCCGCAAACGCGAACAAAGTCATTTATAATCGCGAACAAGAATCACAATTTTTTCTTTAAACATTCAAGTGCAAAATAAACGGAAATTAAAAAGCGTGATGATTGTTGCGCGTGTTAATTAAATATTTTTCAGTCGACAGTTGTAATACTTTCTGCAGCAAAAGCCAAAAAAAAAAAAAAAAGAATAAAAAGAAATTATGCGCGCAGCAAGACAAGCAAAAATAGGATAGGAAATAAAAAATCGGAAATTGTCAAGTCCAGAAACGATAAGAAAATAAATTTTCAATATTATGCCAATCAAGAAGCTTTTGACTTTAAAAATACGCCACTCACTAGTCAATTTGGATGCTGAACAATGTCATCAACAAAAGTAAAATTTACTTATCACCGTTTATTTTTACATGTCCGCACATTTGTATTATATCCTTTGAAGTGACTGCTGAGTGGCGTGCTTCTAAACACAGATAAGTGTTCCATATGCAAGGTACGTACATATTATATAAATATAGCGAACACGGTAGAAATGAAGAGCGATGTAAAATTCAACGCGATACACGCTTTTCGATAGCATCGCCAGAAAACGAGACTGCTGCAAAGTGGAAAAATATCACTTGCGCGCCGTGTGCGAGGTTTCCCTTTTTCCTGCGAGTTCGCTAACAAGAAAAATTCGAGAGTCTTGGGGGAGAAATGTAAGAAACGCCAACCAATCTTTTACCGTAAATCGTTGACTCGGCAAACACGTCTGTGCGCTTGATACGAGTATCTTTGAAACAAATGAATAATTTTGCTTAGAATTGCTGAGAGTCGCTGGAATGCAACGCGACGCGTCTTTTGTACGTGCGTCTTACTACGGGCGTTTATTGCACTTAACGTTTTCATAACTCGCTATTTATCGACACAAAGAAGAAGAGAGAGAAGGAGGATGAAGAGAAACAGCAGAGATAGAAATTAATTTAGGATACGCGCCAGCTTTCCCTTTATCGTACAACCGGGTGCATGCTTCTAAATATATTAGATCCTTGCTTCTTCGAATAATCTCGGTAGTGGTTTCGATGCAAATAGTTCTGTCCCAATTACTTAAGAGGGTACTGGAGCCCGGCCTGTAAACTGGATAGAGATCTGTAAACCGACGTTTTAAAAACCTAAATTTCTCTAATTTTTAAGTTTCTTTACTGCATTACATAAAAAGCGCTTCTATAGAAGCAAATACATATAAACAGCTATTTAGTGCTTTTGAAAATATATATATAATGCCTTTTGAAACTCTTTTTTTCATTCGTAATGATAGCATATGATAACCTATACTGTCATCACGCTAAGACGTTATTCTCATCAATTAGATAGTCATACCATAATCTGAATGTCTCATTAGATTCGTTTTTGTCGTATCTGTGGCGCTTGTTCATTGTAAATATGTACATAAGCTTAGAAATAATTCTACATACANGAATATATAGTGAGGTTATAGAAGAAAACTGTATAAGAAAAAATTTATGCTGAATTTTGACATTCCAAAGAACAAGCGCCAATCCTTAGCACAATTTACTTATTTTTGTAGAAGCATTTTAGATTTAATGAAGTAAATACGACACCAAACGTCATAGGAGAAAGTCGGTTTACAGGTCTCTATAGTCGGTATCCAGTACCCTCTTAAAGTGCATCATCGCACAACCTGTACGAAGTTTCAAAACGCGTAATTTCTCTGACAGCATTGTGTTTGCATATCGATGCAAAAGCACATTCGAAATTGTGTGTGTAAAATACGCACGCGTTTATGTAGATTCTTTGTTTTTTATAAAATATTTAAATTTCAAACAGCAACCTCTCAGCCGGATGTGTGCTTTCGAGATTCTACCGCAAAGTCTATTTTTTTAATGCATGACTTCCGTTTGTATCGCCTTGAACATGTGGATTTTAAACTAAAAGGACTCTAGTACGCGGATCCCGTCCGACGATAACAAGAATAATTCGTTTATTCATGTTTATCACCTTGCGTATATGAAAGGGAAGTGTTGAAATATAAACATTGTGTTAACTTTTGAAAGTTTTACAGCGGTTTTGCCTTTTGCTATTCGAGATATAAAGACAAACTAAAACCGGATGACTTTAAAATGCACATTCACACACGGTACGCTTGAACCTACCTGCTTGAACTCCTTGCGAAAGTTTTCGTTGAGCCAGGCGTAGAGGAACGGATTGTAACAGGTGCTGCTCATGGCGAGGCAGTGCGACATGAAGAAGCAGAGCCTGTAATAGGACCAGTCGTTGGCGGACGAGAAGAAATCGTCAACGACATTGACAATGTTGAGCGGCAGCCAGGACATGCCGAATATGAAGACCATCGCGATCAGCATCCAGTTGGTGCGGCGTTTTCTCTCGCGGTCGGCTTCCTCGCGCTTGCTGGTTTTACTGCCGGGTTTGGCGCGCGCCCGATCTTTCAGCTTCATCGACACGCACACGTAGCAGAAGGTAATGACGAAGAACGGAACAACAAACTGTAGTATCGTGGTGAGCAAGCTGAAGGTCTTGCGGAGCGGCTCGCTGGGCCAGTGCTCCTCGCAGAATACGTACGGTTCCTCTAACTGCATATACAAGCCGTACGGCAGGGTGAACAGCAGGGCGATCACCCAAATGCCGATGATGATCGCCATGCACATCTCGATTTTCATTCGCGGACGGAATGGGTAGATGATCACTTGGAAACGATCGGCGGCTATGCTGGTGAGCGTAAACGTGCTGATGTATACGCTCACTCCCTGAGCGTACGGCACCAGATGACAAAGGGTTTTGCCAAAGACCCAACCGCCCATGAAAGTGTACAATGGGGTGAACGGGACGGCCAGCACGCATAGCAACACGTCACTTAGCGCGAGATTTGTGATGAAGAAATTAGTGACCGTGTGCATGTGGCGATTACGCTGGACCACGAAGACCACCAGTACGTTGCCGAAGATGCCGAGCACGAAGATGATCACGTAGAACATGCAGAAGACTATCTGCACCGCTAGATTCGACGTCAAGTCTTCGGTCGGGTAGTTGCTGAAGTTGCGCGCCACCGACAAGTTTTGCATCGTCAATCGCGACGTTATTCGCGTCGTGTCGTCGTCAGCCATGCTTCTTGAGGAAGAGTGCGGGTTTCCAAGTTTTATATATCTCCTTCTCTTCTCCTCTTTCTCTCTCTCTCTCTCTTTCTCCTCTGCTTATTCCGCCTCTTCTTTGACCACTTTGCCTCCTCTTGTTACTTCGAATTGATCATACGTCAGAGTGTTATTGACGTAGATGAACTTGCTTGGCGAGGTATCGTCATTTCTCAGAACGACGACGTGCGGAAGGTCGTCCGCGCGATCAGATTCGGTGAGCTTATCCGGAAGAGTGCAAGCCGTCGAGTGAATTATCGGCCGGCATATCGCGACGAACGGCGTCATCGACTCCCCGAGTCGTGAATTAATTTCTCGCAAAGCTTGACCATTTATGGTCGACGCTACCAGCTCGATCGAGGCGAGCGCTTAAGCGACGGGAGTTCTGATAGATAAGCGAGTTATAGCCTCAGATAAGCAGATTATTTCTCGAGTTTTGCGCCCCGGTATCCTCTCTCACACAGGCAACTCGCATCGATTATACTCGGCACGTATACGCCCGAGAGCGTTGCAGCGCGCGCGCGCTCGCTCTTGCTCGCTCATTCGACTTCTGATGCGGTAATCCTCTAAGCGCGCCCAATTTTTCAGTGTGAAATGGAAAACGGAAATCGGTCCCGGTTTTAAGCTCGATCACTATTCTGCGCACATCAAGAAAAAGAGAAAGAGAGAGAGAGAGAGAAAGAAAGAAAGAGAGAGAGAGAGAGTTACCAATTTTCCTCTTTATAAGTTTTATAACCTCGACTTTATATCCATGATATTGCGTTGATAACTGAGTTTCTGTAAATTTTATTTCACATTTTGTCACGTTGAATCGAACACACCGACGGATTTTTAGCGCGCGTCTCCTTTGTGATTTTTACAACAAAGATCACTTCCCAGAGCTCACGTCGCAAAACGAGAAGTAACTCGTGTGCGATAGAAGAATTTTCACTACAAGCAACATCGATTTTCTTCCTTGTTCTTTGATTGGTTAGCGGCTAAACATTTAATCAAATAGGAAGATTGTACGAATTATATCAAAAAGCTTCAAGTGTCGTTGCACGGTTTGCTCTTAATCCTAATAAAGACGCCAATCGTTGCACTGGTGTCTTTCAACCATCGATTCACACAGTGTGATCGCAAAACCGATTTCGTCATCCGATCGGGATCAAGATCGCACGAAAAATTTGATTATCCAAGTTGTTTTACACTTATACAGATATTTATAACACACTAGTTGATAACAATATTGCTAACACCAACCGCGATTTCCCCGACATTTATCCAAAGAGGGAACAGCGATGACAGTTAGGTAATTAACATGCCAAGACGAAACTTTCCCCGGCGACGGTTGATCCTCTCTCGCTGAAACACATGACATGAGAGAGCAATTAAGAGCGCCGATTACCAGAGTCAGCGAAGTACTCGATGTTGGCGAAATTGTCGATGAACTTCAACTGTCGGTGAACTTCAACGGTGTGTTTTTCATATCGTCAAGCCTCGACAAAAACAAGTCAAAAAGTTTCCAACAGTCGACAATAGACGCGTTTCACAAGTCTTGAAAGCAAAAAGAAGATTCTATATTTAAAAAAAACTCTCAGAATTCGTTTCTCAAAGTGTGTTTCGCTATTAAAAGTAAGAAATAAGAACCAAAAAAAAAAAAAAAAAAAAAAAAAAAAAAAAATACCTAGCTCTCATTTCGGGGTTTTCTCTTTGACGTTGAGTANAATTCGTTTCTCAAAGTGTGTTTCGCTATTAAAAAAAAAAAAAAAAAACCAAAAAAAAAAAAAAAAAAAAAGAACAAAACAAACTCGACGCTCTCATTTCGGGGTTTTCTCTTTGACGTTGAGTACTAATTTTATTTCGGAAAGACAGACGTAACACGATTTCGTCGACGGCAGAATCTTTTTAACAGCTGAGTTCGATATTTCTGCGTGAATTTATTTACGCGCAGCTGATTGAAACACAATCGAGGGTTTTGCTCGCGTTGAACGCGCACGTATTAATCGAAGGGCGTTATATGAACTACATAGTTCGTCGATATTGCGGCTATCATAGACATTAATAAATTTATAATATTAATAAATGATCTTGCGCGACCGGGAGAGAATCGAAAAATAATTTACAGAAAATTGAATGTGACGACGCGGAGCGCCGATGATAGAGTGTTAACATGTTCACTTCACTGAATGATTAATTAGAAAATAATGACTCAAAATTGTTTTATAGTTTATTCAAAATAATAGTTAAGAAGATATAGAGATTTAACTTTTCCACCCAAAAAAATGTTTTGAAAAAAGATTTGATCAAGTAGATCTAAAATACCATTCCCTTTTTCTTGACAGTTTTTGACCTCTGACTTGTGTCATCGAGCTTTCACATTCAGCAAACTATTTGTTATTTTGCAAAATAATTTGTTGTTCGTGAAATTTTTCGCGAGGAGGTCACGGGATCACAAACGTTAGTATACGTAAGAGGCAAGAGAACACAAAACGCAGCGTAAAAGTAATCACGTACGCTTTTGCACACATGCGAGATCGATTTTGGCCACCTGTTGAAGAGTCCGCGGCCGGACGAGCCGCGGCAATTTCTTCCGTCGCAAAACCGAATGGTGGGTAACTCGTCAAGTTTCGTCGTTACGAGGATCTTTAAAAACTTACGGAAGTATTTTGCGCGATTATCGCGGATGATTATTATAGTATAGTTTATTAGGCCGGTGTAACTACTGCGGTTCGCTTCCTCTCTCTCTTTCTCTCAGAGAGACTTGCGAACAATATACAAAAAAAAAAACTGAATGACAAGACACTAGAACTAGTCACATGTAAGACACACACATACACCAAACAAAATTCTCTACTATATATGTTCTAACTGATTAACGACGTCGTTCGTTATGATTATTTATATATACATATGTCGTTACAATTTTTAATCAAAAACATTATTCAAATCAATGTTCCTGACTTTGTTATAGTATAAGATATACAAATTGATTTTTTTTTTTTTTTGGTTACGCGTGTGCGTAGACGTTCACACGATGCGTGCGTCACACTCAACACTGCTCCTCGAAATTACACGCTTCTCTCCTGCATCTGTTATCTTTGGGAACTTTCTTCTTACTAATCTACTTTTTTGATTTTTATTTTTTTTCTTTCCGTAACAGGTACGTGTTTTCCAGGTCGAAGTTTTTCACGAGATAGTCGACGCATCGTCATGTGATTTTAAGCGATGACCTGCCGAGCATGCGACGCTCTCATCTCGGAATTCGAAAGAGACGTGTTGCGACGACCACCTCGGAGCGTCACCGGGCGCCGGTGGTTTACGCGCTTGGCTTTGCTGTCGGCGACTGATCACAAGACGCGAAAATTGGAAGCGCACCAGCTTCGAGAGAGAGAGACCGTACGCGACTTCGTCGTCGGCGCGGTTTTTCCGCGCAGACGCGCGTACAATGTGCGCGCGAGATCGCCCACACGTTTGCACAACGGGGATGCTAACGATGATATGTGATAAGGTCCGGGAATGTACCGGCTTAGATATTATTCAAAAGAAGACAAAATTAAAAGCAATACGTCTTAAAATAATTAAGAAAAATTTATACATTTAAATGAAAGAATTTGTAAATCATTTATTAAGATCTTTTTTATATAAATTTTAAGATATATATTGTTTTTTTTATCTGTACGTACGTATATATATTTTTTTATGATATTTTGGAAACATTTTATGAAACATTTTCAACATTTTTACTTTTCAATCATTTCTTTTTCCGGTTGTTGATTGTCCCGATTCGCGCGTATAATCACGGATGGATGAAATAAAAAGAAAGTTAGCTCGATATTCTGTATAAATTTGTATTTCTCACCTTGCTCTGCTTTTCATAGTTCGACGCGCGTGGCATCGAAGGTTTATCTCAAGGCAGCAGTCGAAAATATTTGAGATTCCACTTGAGAAGTCCACGAGTGTTTTCCAGAATCTAATAAAGTTGAAATGAATTTCTATGCTTTATGGGGTTTCGCGAGCATTCAGTTTCGTAGAAGAAAAAAAAAATAAAGAGAAGAGAAAAAATACATTCGGGGGACCGTTTGCATTTTATAGCAGAAAAATTTCACTTAAATTATATTGGCTCTTCTTGCCGAGTGACGCACGGATTTTCCCGATACGAGGTATGCGACAAATTTCACTTTAGTTCGAATTTTTATGCAAGCGTTTCGAAGAAATTCTACTCGAAAGGTTAAACAAATTTGACATAAGATTTATGTATGTATAATATATCGATTTACTTGCGCGTTTGAAGTTTAACACATGGTCAATGCAAATTTATATCGTAATCGTGTTGGTATTTTTCTGCTTCGCTATCCCGCAATCGGTAGTCGAGAACTCACGTGTTGTGTATTTCAAATTTCGCACAATGCACAATACCGTGCGAGTATGTAATTGATTTTGTATTCGGCCTAAGTTTTACGACTACTTATCAGAGCGCAGCACGTAACAGAGTCGAGAGCACGGAGGTAAAGGAGGGAGCGTTGTCGAAAAAAGATGAAGCCTAGTCAGCCATGTTTATATGGGCCACTAGTACTACCATCTGTTAGTATTTCACAATACTTCGATGAAATAATGCACAATAGAATCACGGAGATAAAATAGAATAATACTTTAAGAAATGTAGTAAACATATATTTACTTAAAAAATTAACAAAAAAGAAACTAATTTTAATAAATAGTAATTATAGATATAATATTATACATATTTATAAGATTTAATAAATATAGGTAAATAAATAAGTAAGGGAAAAAAATATAACTTATATATAAAC